CTGTCTGACAATGAAAATCCGTTGTATTGTAAAATTCGTTATATCAAAATTCGTTGTAGAAAGAGTTGACTGTATTCACCATATCTGTAATATTGTCAAACCTAAAAATTAGAAAATAAGCAAGAAAATATTAGATATGTTAACTTTTACAACTTTTACAACTTACTAACTAAAATATCTTACTTCTTACCTATCTGTATCAAAAAAGACTTCTGCACTATCGTATGTCATCAATTCGTCAAATTCCTTATCCATTGTAAATGAAAACAAAGGCAAGTTATAAAATATAAAAAAGTTGACAAAGTCGAGTATTGTAAGTTATAAAAAAAGGTAGTTATATAAATCTGATAAAATGATTCTATATATAACAAGTCAGATTGCAAAGGAATGGTAGATAAAATGACTCAAATTAAATAATAATAAGTCATAAGGTCAGTTTTAAAGCAAATTTTAAAAGAAAACGTTAACAATGTCAAAAAATGGGTCAATTTTCGTTTCCTTGCTTTGAATTTCTGTAAAAAAAAAAGGTCATATTTTAGGTAATGGGTGTGTCAGCTCTGATGTTATAATAAAAGAATGACTAATGTTAGTACTTTCATTAAAGAATAAAAAAACTAAAGCCACTTACGTAATATGTGTAAAGGTGTAAGCCTTTTCATATGACTATTCGCGTAATATAAAAATTTAATAGCATGTGCGTGTATTTTACATGTTCTTGTACATGTTATTTTTGTATTACGTGAATTTGTTTACATAATCTCAAATATGATTGGTCAATCTTGAGGAGTCGCCATGGCGACCCAAATCGCTAATTATAATTTTCTTATTTATTAATAAATCTTTATTCAATTTGTCTGAGATATTTTGTGATATTTTATATTAGTAATGTTTTACATTTATTTTTAGCTTAATACATAGAAATATACTCAATAGTATATTGAATATACTGGGTAGTATATAGTGGATGAATTATATATTCATCGTAGGTTTAAATATATTTTTCAATATATAACAGAACTTAACCAACTGAGGTTTGAATATATTTTGCAGTATATAAAAGAACTATTAACTTACTAAGACAACTATTAGATTACTATGTAAACTTTAAAAGAATTACCACTCAAACATTCCATCTAATAGTCACAATTTGACAAGATTACACATTAATAATATCAAATCCTCAATCTTAAATAATTATTAGATCAAAGATTTGGAATATATGTATAATTGATAATATTGATTTTAAGCAAAGTTCTTTTGCATAAGGCAATATTTATGATATTATATGATTAACTGTACATATTACATTATGCCTTCTTTTTCAATTTGTTCTTTCTATTAAATTATCATCAATTCTAATAATTTAGTTGAATTATTAAAAAAGTACTTTTATTTTTGGACAAAACCAAGAATCAAGTAAAATAGTACAAGATCTTGAAGAACTTATTGAAGGTTTTTTTCATAAAAATTAAATAATGAAATATATTAAGTTGGAATTAAGATTTTGATATAGAAATTATTAACAAAAAAATTATAGAAATATATAATACTGGTGATTTATTATCATCTGCAAATATAGTCATTTTAGAAGCAGATGGAAATTCCAATAATAATAATGATATTACAAAAGCATATAATCAATATTTTATTGATTTAAACTTTAATAATAATAAAAGTATTTATGTATGTTATGATGAAGCAATTTTTAGATGAATAATATAACATCATTTAATTAATTCAAGAGTTTGCTTTTTATTAGACTAATGGTATACTAGTAAAGATATGTATAGTATATTATTAGTTATTTTTTCAAGTTATGGAATATATAATCTTGTTGTTTTTCTCAGAGTAAAATTTTTAGATAAGTTAAAACAAGTGGTAAATTATAGATTAACTTGTCGTGTTCTTGATTTACTATGGGAAGCAGTTGGCTATACATTTAATATTTATGCAAAAAAAAATAATCTTTACTTTGAAAATATAATGAATCAAAATAATAATTTATTAAAGATTTGGTATTATTTTTTTAAATGGAAAAGTTACTAAAAAGAACATCAAGTAGAAATTTGTACTGGAAATTCTTTACTTCAAATTTAATATCTTTCTGCTTTTACTTCTTTATTTCCTTTAGCTGGAAAATTAAATTATATAAAATCAACTGTAAATTATATTATTAACCAAATATCCCAAACTTCATATACTTTTAAGATTTGCTACTTTAGTTAATCTTACTTGTGATAGGCATTTTTATGCATTTGATGAGGCACTTGAAACCTTTAGTGTTAAATTTATAAAAGAAAATATTACTGAAAATATTTATAATAATGAAAATCTTCAAAGACAAATAAAAGCAAGCTAAGCAGAAAGAGAAAGAATAGATTTGCTCTTTGGAGAATTTATAGGCAAGTAATATAATGATATCTAAAAAGGATCGAGTAGTTAATAGCAGGTGTAAAGTATTTTGGGCTCTTATTAACTCTTTATTAATTGCATTTGATTCATCTAATCTAACAAGTCTTCCTTTATTTTAAAATTGCAAAGAATTAACTGATGATGATTTAGTAAAACTTTTTTCATATTATGATAAAGGAAAAGAAAGATTAATATAAATTTATAGGCAAAAAGTATTGAAAATTAATCTAATTAATACAAAAGGAAGAAGAGCCAAAGAAGTAATTGCAACTAAAGTAAAAGATATAAAAAATGCTGAATACATATCTAAAAAATGTCTCTTTCAATCTGAAGTAACAGGGTCATCTAATACTATAATCACTACCAATACCATCACTATTATTAAATCATAGCATGTATTAACAGAAGTAGAAAAGGCTATTTTAAAACCTTATTTTGAAAATCAAGATCCTAGTAATATAGAAACTGAAGCAGTATTAGATTCACTTTTAAAGCTATCATCAGATTATTGGACAAAACAAAAAGTTAGAAATGCATGGAGATATATGCAAAGGAAAAAAACACAATTAAATAAGTAGCTGATTGAAGGTTTTTTTTTAATTTTATTTACAATAAATTACAATAATCAAAATTTTTATAATAACATAATTAAATAAATAATACTAAAAAATTAAGTCTACTAATATTACTATTATCACTGTCATAAGAAAAAAAATTACATCTGCAACTACCATTATCATTACTACTTTTACTACTATCATAAAAGAAAAAAAGTAAGTTAAATAAATGCAAATTAAAAAAAAACAAAAATAAAGTTAGATTTTTATTGCAGCTATTAAATTATAGTCTATAAGAATGAAAATATGTGGATAAAAATAAAAAAAAAAAATTCACATAACCTTTAGCTGTTATTTTGAACTAAATCATAGTCTAAAATAAAGCAACTGAAACAAAAGTAAATAAACAAAAATAAAAAAAATAAAAATAAAAATTTAGATTTATCAATTATTAGTTGCCATTTTAATCTGAATTATAATTAAAAAAATAAGAATGAAAAAAAATGATATTTGATCATTCCAATTTACGAATCATTATTTGAACTGAACTGTAGCTTAAATAAAAGCAAACAAAATAAAAGTAAGTGGATGGGAATAAAAAAAACCAAAATTAAAACATTTGACTATTAACTGCCATTTTGAATTAACAAGAAAAAAGTTGAAGTAAAAGCATAAAATAATAATTATAACCTAAAATAAAAGCAACTGAAATAAAAGTAAATAAATAAAAATAAATAAAAATAAAAAAAAATAAAAAAAGTTTTAGACTTACCAATTATTAGCCACTATTTCAAACTGAACTGTAGCTAAAAATAAGAATAAAAAAATGATAAAAAAGAAGTTTTAATCACTCTGATCTATAAATCACCATTAAAATTGAATTGTAGCTTAAAATAAAAGCAATTGAAACAAAAGTAAATAGACGAAAATAAAAAAAAACATAAAAAATGTTTTAGACTCACCAATTATTAGCCACCATTTTAAACTGAACTATAGCTAAAAATAAGAATAAAAAAGAATAATAAAAAAGAAGTTTCGATTATTCTGATCCACAAATTACTATTCAAACTGAACTGTAGCTTAAAATAAAGTAATTGAAATAAAAGTAAATAGATGAAAATAATAAAAAAAAACATAAAAAAAGTTTTAGACTCACCCATTATTAGCCACTATTTTAAACTGAACTGTAGCTTAAAATAGCTGATAGAAGTAAATAGAATAAAAGTAAATAAAAATAGACGAAATAAAAAAAAGTTTTTAAACTTATTGCTATTTCAAACTGAACTGTAGCTAAACAAAAACAAATATAAAAAATATAATAAATATAAATAAGAATTAAGAAGGAAAAATAAATGAGGAAGATGAAATTAAAGAAAGAACTTACCTTCACTATGATTTTTTAAATAAAACGTTAACTAAGAATCTAAAAAAAGAAAATAAATAAATAAAAATTAGAATAAGTATAGACTAAAAATAATATAAAATCTAATAACTGTAGTTTAAAAAAGTTATAAATACACGAATATATTAATAGCTGATAAGAATAAACTAATGTTATATATTAAAAAAGCTTCTTGTTATAGTGAAAATTTGATTTTTGTATTTTACGCAAAAACTGTCTGATTAACTAACATCAAAAGCTTAGAAAATTTTTTCTTCTCATAAAATTACATATATTTTTGATACTAAAATCATATTTCTTTTCTTACTTTTAAAAGGATCTTAAAAAAAGCTTATTTTTAAACAAATTTATAAATGTAAAGAAAAAAATAATTGTGAAAAAGGAAATTTATTTTATAAAACTAGTAGAGCATATGATAATCTACCAAATTACTTAATTAATATAGGTATAGTATATTAAAATTGACGTTTAATTATAAAATAAAGCAACTCAATTATGATTATACAAAATTCGTTTAATATAAAAATGATCTATATGTAATATGCGCAGTGATTGATATACAAATAAATATATAAATATTAAAAAAATTAGTCTAAAAAAATCAAATAGAGTTATAAACTGCATTATTAATTTTAAACATTTGCTTTACTATTTATTTTTAACTAAATTAATTAAAAATTTATTAGTCTTAAATTATTGAAAAATATCATTTATTAACTTAATTTATTATAAAAAGTAAGATTTAAATTAGTTAAATAATTTTTTTTCTTAATTACAAACTTTTTCTTATCATCTTTTTATTTTTATTATATTAACAAAATTCTAAAAAACTTGGTTTTAATTATAAAAACTTAATAAATTCATTTTATGTTTATTTTAGATTTATTATTATTTTTTTATTATATAATTTTAACATTATACTTTTTCTTTAAATACTTAATATTTTTTACAATTTTTTTTTAAAGTATGGTAGTTTTATAAAATCTTTATTATAATTAAAATTCTGCATGATTTCCTTTGAGAGAAATATTTCTGGACGTTTTTCTTTGAGAGAAATGTTTATAAAGTGATTTTCTTAAAGGAATTTATTTTCAGGACGTTTTTCTTAAAGGATTTTATTTTCAGAATGATTTCCTTAAAGGATTTTATTTTCAAAATGTTTTCTTTGAAAGATTTTATTTCTAAAACATTTTCCTTAAAGGATTTTATTTCTGAAATATTTTTTTTGAAGAGTTTTATTTCTAAAACATTTTTCTTGAAGGATTTCATTTCTGAAATGATTTTCTTGAAGGATTTCATTTTTGGAATGATTTTCTTGAAGAATTTCGCTTATGGAGGGATTTCCTTAAAGGAAATTATTTCTGTAGCTTTTTCTTTAAAGGAATCACATTCAGAATCAAAATCCTTTATAAAAATCATTTTAGAAGTGAATTCCTTTAAAAAATTCAGCCCTGAATGCATTTTTCTTTAAGAAAATGCCGTTAGATACATTTTTCTTTAAAGAAAACGTCACTGAATTCATTTTTCTTCAAAGTAAACGTCATTAGATTCATTTTTTTTAAAGAAAATGTTACTACTGATCCAGGCCATCCAATTACATAATGAATAAAAATTCTGTGAAAATCAACAATTCCTTGACATTGAATTGCATATCTTTTTTTTCTTGTAAAAAATACTGTTAGATCTTGTGTAAGTGCTTCATTTAAAATAAATGAGTTCCATCTATTGCTCTAATAACATTTTGAAACCCACTAATATTTTAAAATCCTGTATGAACAACTGTTCTAATATTATCTTTAGGCCATTGAATAAATTCTGATTTTTTATTCCTTATAGCTCTCATTACATGATCTACATAAAGAATTACAGTACCTTCTGATACTCTAAATCTAGAACAAATACCCATAATATTATCTTTAGAACTAATACGTTGAAGAAATATTGCTAATTGAAAATCAACTGATGCTTGTGGCTTTTTTTCTTGGCTTTGAAATATTACATCATATTGTAAAATTTATACTAGTCTAATAAACTGCTGCTTTTCCATTCATAAAGTTTTTTTAAAACGGATGTCATCATATAAAGGTAATATTTCATACCATTAATGTTTGGATTTAACAAAATTATGTGTTTGAGTAACAAGATAATGAGAAGACAAAACAAGAAGAACTACTTTTATTAGTTCAAAAATATTATCTTCTAGTTTATTTAATTTATTATTAAAAGAATTATTTATCTCCTCTATTATTAATAATAATAAAGTATTATCTATATCTTGTTTAATTGACATGATTGGTTAAAATTAAAATGGAACAGATCAATTTGGAATTTATCTGCTCAATTCTTACCATTTTTTAATTGGTTAAAATAATTTCAAAAAAATTGGATCGGATCAAAATAGATTAGAATTGAACAGGGCTAATGTCATCTAAATATACTGCTACAAACTTATAAAAGTATTCTTATAGAACAAAATTCATAAGACGTTGGAATATTCCAGAAGCATTCTTTAATTTAAAAGATATTCTTTTGAATTCATAAAGGCCATATTGATAGATAAAAGCAGTCTTTTCATGATCACTCTCTTCCATTTCTAGTTGCCAATATTCACTTGCAAGATCAAGTATAGAGAATCAATTTGCATTTCTAAATTTCTTAAGCAAGTCATTAATAAGTGGAAGGAGGTAAGCATCTCCTTTATTTATAGAATTAAGTTTTCTATAGTTGATATAAATTTGTGAATCTCTAGATTTCTTTGATACAATAATAACTGGAGAAGTCTAAGAGCTTTTTAACTTTTGGATAATATTATTTTCTTCTATTCTTTTGATTTCATTTTGAAGAAATTTTAGTTTTGCATGATCCTTTAATCGATATGCAAAGCTAACAATTAGTTCATGGTCTCCTGTAGGAATTTGATATTGAAATAAGGTTGTATGACTAATTTTTATTTGGCTTAGAGCACAAATATCTTTAT